ATCTTATGTTGGGATTGTGAATCCTGGTACATAGTTTCTAGAGACACTGCCTACTAAAGGTATGGGGGAAACGAGCAAATTTTGGCTAGTCACAGATGTTACAAAAGTTTCATTTTGTGCATTTGACAATATGGTTGAAGCACTTATAGTTGGGGGTATGGTTGTAGCGTTCGTAGTTGAAGGGATAATCGTAGTCCCTTGACTTTTCGCCGTGGCTTCGGTCGTATTCGAAGCATTTGTATTCCCTCCCGTGGGGGGAGGAACTTGTTGCGCACTTCTAATGGGTGGGTTAGCCATTCTCCTATTGTTCTGCTTTTTTGTTCTAGGATATGTGGTATTGGCTATTTTTCCACTCCTTAATTTCATGTAACGAAACAAGTTAAACAACTACTGAAAACTAGACACAGGGTCCCATCAGGTGTGCCAATTTGTTTACCCTGTAATTTGGTAAACAACAGTTGATCTTCTAAATCTCTAAAAACAAAGATTAAGTTACTCGCGAGATCGATCAGATTGATCTCAGGACTATTGTGTTCTAGTTTTTAGAAAAAAGGTTTTGATGATAACTTCTTTAAACGAAGAGAATCACTTTGATATCAAATAAAGTGTTCTTATAAAAACAATAAAATAGAAAACTATTCTAGACTCTAAATCGTAAATAATATAAATGACATGAAGAAATTTCATTAAATGTAAATAACTTTCGAATGTAAATATGATGCATCATATGTACGTGTCTCACTAACTCGTTTCTCTAACACTGATACTTTGAGTATTTGAGTATATTGTACAACGATGTGAACACTTGAATCCTAACATCTAAGACTCATATTTATACTAATTCGACCCTAACGGTCTTTCTATGAGATTACACCACGTTCGATACCTTTTACATGCAAACATTCTTGCATTTCCACGCGTCTTTCTGGAGAAATGCATTAGTTTGAAATTTAAACTTCCCGCTCGAAGCTTATTTGAATTCAACTTTGAATTCAACCAATCGTGATTGTCGAAGTATTTCACATATCTTGAAATATTATTTTAAGTTCCTCTTTCGACATATCGAATCATAAGTTTTTTTTTCTTTTTACAAAAATAACCTTGTAAGGTCCAATTTCATGTTATTATTTTTTTAGGCCATGACCTTCTCACATCAACTTTCATATTTTTTATCAAATATCAAAATCTTCAACTAACGCATGCATAATAATTTTGTAGGGACTAAAACATGTCATTATCTTAATAAGAACTAAAAATAAAATTTGAGATATTTATAGGGACCAAAAATATATTTAACATTTTATTTTTTGTATTAATTTTTGATTTTTTTTGATTTAATTTCCTTCCTGTTTCTTCATAATTCTAGAACGATACTACTTATACTTTCTTTTGGATATAAATTCTTTTTTTCTTCTCTAATATAAATTTTATTTATGCTTTCTTTTGGATATATGTTGTTCATTGTATTAGCAATTTTAACTTTTCCTTTTTTTATCTAATAAATTAATATTTTAATTTTATAAATTAAAAGTCATTTTAATAAAAATGATATTAAATTAAAAATCCAGCATTGGACCATTATTAGAAAACTGTTTAATTGAACAATCAATACTTTAAATTTAATGATGATAATAAATTTAAGGCAAAATACTCATTTTGGTCCCTTAACTATACCCTTGGGTTCATATTGGTCCCTTAACTTTTTTTTGTGTCATTTTGGTTCCTTAACTTTCAAAAAGTTTCATTTTAGTCCTTTTTGTCTAAATTCGTAGCTAATTAGACCGAAAAACTTTGAAATCAGCCGCTACATTCGTAGCTAATTAGACAAAAAGGACTAAAATGAAACATTTTGAAAGTTAAGGGACCAAAATGACACGAAAAAAAGTTAAGGGACCAATGTGAACCCAAGGGTATAGTTAAGGGACCAAAATGAATATTTTGCCTAAATTTAAAAAATAGAATATTTTACTTAATCGACGTTTCTTAATGATTAGTTGTCTTTTTTCTTATTTATTGATTATGCATCACGTTTTTTGCATAATATAATTCTACAGCACTATTATTTTATAAATATAAATATTATAAATTTTAATTTGATTATTGTCCTTTAAAATAGTTTAAAGATGATAAAATAGTTATAGAGCACTATTGTTCTATAAATTTAAGAGACTCAATAGAGTACTATGTATGTATTATAATGGAACAATTAAAATATCATTAGACTGAAACAATTGGATAAATCATTGAAAATAAATTTAATGAAATTGTCATCGAACATTATTTTATCTCGTTGAAAGGGAAAGGTGAACATCGAGTAAACCTAAAGGGATAAAATCACGGTCTTGTGACCATAGAGACCGGATAAGGAAGTCGGTTACGCGAGGAAAAGGTATTAGCACCTCACACGTCTTTGGTACTCCACATGATCCACTTATGTTTGTTCTAATCTAAGGGTATATCTAATCTATGTCTAAAGCTTAAAAGCTATAAAAAAAAGATGCAAAGAGGGAATGAATGCAAAAGAGAAAACACGGGGAAAAGAAGAAAATAATTACAAAATTCGCTCAGCTGAACCCCGCGACCAGATGCCTACGTATCCCTTTTAAGGAATCAAAGAACCGTTGTTCGGCTCAATAGTTTCCATTTGTTGTGTGTTTTTATGAACAAATGATGGTGAAGCATGCTCTTTTGAAAAAGGTATAAAAAAAAGTCCGAAGAAAAAAAGATTTGCATTAGTTTGTGTTTTTTACCTTGAGAAAAGATTTGGTGATTTGAACCACATTAAAGTCTACGACATGAGAGACTTTGGGTGGTCGAGCCAAACGTCTCGTATCCAAAGGACTCATGTAAGGCTCATGACACATGGATCGCATCTTTATTATTAAGTGTTTTGAGAAGTTTGAAATAAAAGGAGATTTTAGTTTTAATGAGAATGCAAAAGAGAAAGAAAAGACTAAGGGAGACTAGCAAAATAGCTCTAGAGTTGTCATGCATTGTTGATCCTATAGTTGAGGATAATATATGGAAACATCTACCTAATGTTATCCTGCTTGGATAAAGATCCTAAGGTCTATTTAGTTCAAACTTAGAGAAGAGTGAACTAAAGATCCTATGAGGAGCATACAAGAGGAGAATCAAGCAAAGATAGGATAAGGGATCACAAAACATTACACAAAGTGATGACAAGACATCAAGAAGCATGTATCAAGTATAGATGATAAAACATCTAACAAGGATGGTAAAACATCAAAAAACATGTATCAAATATAGATGACAAAATATCTAACAAAGATGGAAAAACATCAAGAAACATGTATCAAGTATAGATGACAAAACATCTAATAAGGATGGAAAAATATCATGCAAAGATGAGATGATAAGACATCATACAAAGAATGAGATGACAAAACATCATAAAATAGGATGATAAAACATCAAGTACAAACACGTAGGTAGAAACCTAAATCAATAGGAGAGGAGATGGCAAAACATCACACCATAGATGACAAAACATCAACACAGAAAGGATAAGACATCAAGCACACAAATGTTAGGATGACAAGACATAATATCTTAAAGAAGACAGGAAAATGATAAAACATCCACACCTAACAATGATATTAATAATAAAAGTAGGATAAAAGATAAGAGATTGTAAAACATCACACTTAACAATGATATTAAGAATCAGAGTAGGATAAAAGATAGAAGATGGTGATTAGATAATCAGACATTATACATGAGAAGTAGAGATTTACTCAAGATATAAGGTACTTAGATAAGATGCCTAAAGAAAACATGCTTAGATAAGAAAGTAAGGAAGAAAGGTCATGCACATAGGTAGACACCTAAGCTAGTAGTCAAGTAGGAGGACAGGTAATAATTAAACAATCAAAATATGCTTACAGAGGTAAGACTTCTAATCATGCATCAATATGCGAGAATAACGAGAGGTATGATGATACTTAACGAACAAGGTCCATTGTCTCTTCAATGCGCACGTGATAAGAAAAATCTACCGAACACCTCCTTGAGTTTCCTCCATCAACCAATAATTAGGCATATCCAGGATAGATCAACAATCGATCATAAAATCATGGCAAATGTATCCACAAGATAAATGGAATGCTTGGTGTATGGGAGTTGTATCAGGTTATGATTAACCAAGGGATATACTTGATTAATCTCGTGAGAATAGGTGCTCCTACCATCAACCAAGAGACCCTTTTTGCATGGGGCACTTAGTATATGGACCAAAGTGATTGATTCAGGTTATGATTAACCAAGGGAAAAACTTGATTAGTCTCATAAGAATGGCCATGCCCAAACCCAACTATGAGACCATTTTAAGAAAATGTTTGGTATGTGGATCAAGGGGAGAGAAGAGAGTTGCTTCAATGCATAAGATAAAAATCAAGAGTCCATACAAGGTGGCTATATGCATGCTCCTAGAAAGTGGGACTAGCATAGTTCTAGTATTCTAAACGTCCAATTGGAACAATCGATCAAATTGTTGTCGCTGTAGAAAAGCCTAGGACCAAACTATGAATGTGTGCAAGTGTGCAGTTGCAGGCGGATGCCTTTTCATTGATGATGAGCCCATGAGGAGGCCAAGTGTGTCAATAGAATGGCATATGCATAATTGAGCAAAAGTCAAAACATACAAGGAAATAAAATTCTAAGCTATTACAAACCACATGGAAATGAGGGTACACGCGACAACACGATTAAAAGTCAAAATAAACAAACAATACAATCCAATTGAAAGTATTTAAATAACTAATTAAATTGAATCTTTCTATTTAATAAAAGTAATCAACAAAATGATTAATAATATTAAATTATATTTAAATTAATTATTTAAAACAAATGATATTTTTTATTTTATATAAAATGAAATCAAAATAGTACTTAAAAGTAAAATATAAAGAAATAATAGAAATTAAAATTGGGCCTGAAATGCAGCAAACAAAGGGGGTGCTGAAAGGAATCTGCTAGGCCTAAAACAACAAGCCTAAGTCGAAGGAAGCTATGTGATCTGGTGTGGCTGCTCCGCGGGGTCTACGATGGGAACTTGCTTCTGGAACGTCAGTTCTTGATTTATGATGATTGAACGGTAATGATCGAGAGATGCACCATAAGGCTGATGGAGAGGCGCACCTTGGATCTGCTAGATCTGGTGACTGCAACCTCTGAGAATCCCCTGTGGGAATGCATTTATGAAGCATTTGATGTTGATTAAGGACGATCTAATTAAATATGATAGTGTGATAGTGCGAGAGTGCATGGCATGGGCGGTGAAGCACCTGCACAAAAACAAATAGAGGCCACAAAGGTGATGACAATTGTCATCACCTGCTTAACTCTAAAAAAACTTAATCATATTGAAAAAACATAATTCAGAAAGAAAAGAAAATTAGAAATAATCCCCTCTCTCTCTATCTCTCTCTCTCTCTCTCTCTCTCTCCCGTCTTCATGTTCTCTCATATCTCTCTGAAGAGATCTCATCAGGGATGTAAGGGGCTTCCGCATTAGAAATCGCCTTGCGGCAGCAGCGACGATCAATGTTTCGGTTTCGATCTTCAATTTATTTATACCGATTACTTCGTCTTCTTCTTCTCGTCACTAATATAATGCTAATTTTTGCATAAACTCAAAGGTTGGCCGATATCTATTAAGGGAATTCTGAAACCCTAGAAGTTCATATCGTAATCTTTCGCTATTCTCTGGTGAGAACTCTCCGATTCTTTATGAAAATATCTCTTTTTTCTCTCCGGCGCAACAAAATTCTTCTTTGCATTGACTGCATCTCTTTTTCTTCTGTTTTCAATTTCATCTCATATTTCTCTTCAACATCACCTCACCGCCGCGACTCGTTATCATCTGTATCATCTCACTTTTAAACAACTTCCCCGTCATCTCCGTCAATCACGATTTCATCGTCTTCACCTTTTCAACACAATGATGATTCGATAGAACAATAATACACATGCCATAGGTTTGAACAACAATGCGACAATGGCGAAATTTAAGGATTACCTACGGAGAATTCCGATGCCTCTTCAATCGCAACCGTGACGACGAGAAATCCAGCGATTTTGTGAGATTCCAGGAATACGTATCTTGTAGTTCCTCTGCACAATTTTCTTCTCCTTCTGAAAACTTTATGTGTTAATGTTATTGCTTATTGCATTTCAGAGATGATGGAATCGTGAATTAGTGTTGTTGTAGAGGCGGTGAAGATGAGATTTAGAATTCTTAAAGATTGAAGATGATGAATGATGTAGATGAAGATTGAAAGATATAAGTGAGAGAATTCTCAGATATTTTTGGTGGTTATAGATAAGAAAGCAGAGAGAAGAGAATGGAGATTTTTGGTGATTCTTCCAGAAATTGGAGAATGAAGATGAGAGCAGAAGACATTTTTTTGGTGTGATTCTTCTAATGATGAAGAATGAACGATTCTGTGGTAAGTTTTCTGTTTTATGTTGTTAGAGTTTGACACAATGAAATTCCATCTTAGCCGTTGAATATAAAAAACGGTTAGAAGTTTGGATGGCTAGGATTAAACTGTTTTCTTTAGCTTGGTTGGGAAGCTTCTTATTATATTTGAGATGCCCTTTAAATTCTTCTAATTTAATATTCTTATGATATTTTCTATTATAACATGAGTTGGAATTTCTGAGTTCATTTATGATTTTTTTCTTGTTTGCGGCCTTTTATTGATATGTGAACCTGTTTGTTGCTTGGGCTGGAGCTTGCAATTTTAGACTTGCTGCTTTGCTATGTTGGACCTGTGATGCCCTTCAAAATGCCTTGTGTTAGTACATTATGTTTTTAACCTCTTTTTGTGAACCAAAACAAAATAGAATTTATAATTTGAAATAGAGGAAATAGGCCAATGATTAATATTGGAATTCTGATTTTTGTGGTGAAACCTATTGTATGAGACCTTATTGTTGACTTATGAACATGATTTGAAAGATAATTCCCTACACCAAAATTTGATTCCTTTCCACACCCTAATGATGAAATTATGAAATTGCCCTTTGAAAGCTTCTTTGTTTTATGCTCAAGTTTTTGATGATTTTCTAATTATGTTTTCTTTTTCTTGTTTCGTGTGATGGAGGATGAATGAGGAATAGATGAAGATGGCAAGGCAAAGTGGGAGAAGAGGAAGTGGCTGCCATAGAAGAATCTTGGAGGGAAATTTGAAGAAGTGGAGAAATTAGAATCAATAATATCTCATGGGAATATAGAGTAGAATTATTTTTGGTTTGTATTGTAAAATAACTTGCTCTTGTAAGCCTTGGAAAAAAACATGTAGATTTGGTTAAATGTTGCACTTGAATGTCTTGTAGACTTTGTGAAAACTTGTAGCTTTTTATAAGATTTGCAATTGAAAATGATGATGATATGAATCTTGAATAATGAATGCAATAATCTTTAAATTCTTTCTCACTTCTAAACAAAAAAAATGCAAAACATTCCCCTTAAGAAACAAATGGACAAACTTTCCTTCCAATAGATTCTTTTGAAATTGCAATCTAATAAGCCTAAAAATGTTCTCTAATAAGCCCAAAAAGAGTTCTCCACTTGAATTTGCATCAAAACTTCACCACTTGAACTCAAAAATTGGACCATTAAACAACCTAAAATCCAATTAATTTCTAGAAACCAAATATAATCCTTCTAATGAAAAGTCCATATAAGACCTCTCTTTAATCCATGAGCTTAAGAATGATATTTTGCCTCTGAATAATATTTGAAAAAGATAAGAAGGGAAACAAAGAAGAAAACTTCTAGTGAATCTTATTTGATGATCGAAAGTGCACTGAGATAATACTCATGATAATGCTTCAAGAATTATGTCAAGGAATATGTCCACACTTCAATAGTCAATACCCATGCACAAGAAGCCAATAGGTAGAAGAAAATGTGATTTACTGCAATACTCTTGCAAATCCTGAATCCTATGATGAAGTAAAGAATCAGTTGAGATGTCTCGAGGTCTAAAAAGCTTTGTTAGCTTGAACCAATCAAAATAATGAGGATCAGATTCTCTTTGGACTGATTGTCAATAAAACCATCTTCCACAACTTGTAGAAGAACATGAGAACCAAAGATTCCTTGATCCCCAACACAAATGCATGAATATGTATGATGAAACATAAGCCATATAAGGTAAAATGAAGAGGGAAAATTATGGGGCGCAACAGTTGCCCCTATTGTTGCTGCGGTAGAGCGGAAAGCAAAAAGTAAGTTATTGATTTACCGGGTGATATTTAGGTTATATCCTATCGTGTCCATAAAGATTGGTTATTGAACTTCCTTTTGACAAATCTATCATTAATGAGTTTGGGTGTTGAAGGAAAATGTATTAACATAAAATACATATATAAAAAGGAAAAATGCATATACTACTTCTCACAGACTTAAACCTATCGACCTGTTATACTCAACCTACAATATTCATCAATGTCACTACATATCACTCACAACCTAAGTCATTTCTAACCCAAATTGAGAGGCCGACTGCATCACCTCGGTAGCAAACTCTCAACCACCTCAACAACACATAAGTCAACCGTACTCGCTCGTATCTATGATCTCTCAGAGCGACACAAAAAACATAGAGGCATTAAGCTCTGATACCCAAGTAAATGTCAATTATAAATCTATCTCTAGAGTTCAGAAACTAACAAATAATCATCCTAGATAAGAATCTAAGTAGTATATGTCTATAACAACTCAAACCCCTAACACAGAGTAAAAATCCAGGACATCAATCTACAAAGATTCATAAAGCAAGTTTAATATAATGCCAAGGGCGACAAATATACATCAGTTCAAAGAAAATATAAATAAAAACCCAACCAATAGAGAATACACAAAGAAAACGAGAAATGAACAACAAATCTACACGTTTGTCAGCATCAATCGAAGAGAAATCCACCCCAAATTATCCGTATGCAAGCTCCATAGTTGTTATCTAAGGTAATCCTAACAAAATTAAAGTTTGATGGATTTGGGAGCAAAATCTTCCCCCAAACCATCCCTCAAAATGAGTTGAAATGAAAGTTGTAAAACCAATTTCAACAGGCCGCGCTAAGCGCGACTTACTTATTTTACACATCAAACTGACATAAACTGCACTAAGCGCGCTATCCGCGCTAAGCGGGCTTCATAACATTGGTTCTGCCAATTGTCAAACACAAGCAGCGCGCTACAAAATGCGTTGAGCGGCACTCGCGCTTAGCCGCCTCTACACGCTAAACGGGCTCGCCTAGACAGAATGTCCCAAAACTGGTCTTTTATTCCGAAAATGCACATCTGGAGCCGTGCCTTCGACACCTTATTCCCCAATGCTCCAAAATACAACAATTACCTACAAAATGAATGGAAAAACATCAAATGATACACTATATACACAAAAACACAAATAAACACAAACTAAATGTATTTACACAAAATTCGAGTTTATTCAACGATATTAAAAACAAAAAGTCGATAAGTGCAACAAAAAGTATATACAAAAATAACTACAATTAGTACTTATCAAACACTCCCCAAGTTGAACTTGTTTGTCCTGAAACAAAGCCAAACAACTAAAACAAGTTTTGAAAACGAAAAATAAATGCAATTGTTTAAATGAAAAGCGGTACACATGAAGAAACATACTTACCACTAAACTACAAAGATAACATAAACATGAAAAGAATGCTAAATACAAAGAACATGCCAAACATTTTAAAACAACACTAGTTCACAAATAAATCACAACTAGCAAAAACAATCATCGGTAGATGAAAACTACACAAAAATGAGGTATTTTCACTCATCCAACAATCTTGCAAACAATAGACTAAATTGTGCATTCATCCAAAAATTTACATTGAAAATATAAAAGCAAGAATCTCAAGGGCTTTTCAAGGTTGTAGCATGGTCGGGTGAACAAACAAGGGATAATTCCTAAGGCTAATCGAAACAAAAACTTGCCTAAACCTAAGGGAGTGATCAATTCACCAAATTTTCAAACAATAGAACTTCAATCAAACTTCTTCTTCATCCCAAGTGTTATACCGAACACAAATCCTTATTAACAAAACATCATTTCAAACTCTCTTTTTTTCTTTTTCAAAGCTTTTTTCTATTTTTTCTTTCTTTTTTTTTCTTTCTCAGCCTCATAGAAATCAACCAATAAATACACAATTATTTTTCTCCCCAACTTGAATTCAACTATCATCATAATTTGAATACTCCCTACTTTCTAAGGCAAGGTAAAAATTCAATTAAAATCATAGTTGAGGGTTCAAGAAAACAAAGAATCAATATCCATGCAAAAAGGGAAACTAAACACTCATAGACAAGCACTTAGCAAAAAAAAACATGGATATCAACAAAAATTTCGAAAAGGGATACTAATGATCACACACTCACAATGTGAATTGACTATTTGGCCAAGGTAGTTGTGCTGAAAATGGAACAAAAATTCCCTGATCATGTTGAAGATTTCATACAATCAATACAAACAAAATATTAAGCATAATAAAATCCAGTTAAAATAAGAGTTGTGGTCTCCAGCATATGTGAACAATCGAAAGCTACCTCACAAAAAGGGTAGGAACTAAAGTGATTCACAAATGAACAAGTATACAAAAGAATGGATGGCATAAAAATTGTAAAAAGTCTAAGTATCATGAATATGATAAAGTATAGAAAGCGTTAAACACATAGCTCGAACATGTACAAAACTTTAACAGAACCATTAGCACGCATTCACAAGTTGAAATACTCAAACTTGAAAAATCACCAAAAGAGACTTCAAGCTATTCACAACAAGCTGAAAGGCAAACAAAAAAGAATTAGAATAATAATAATAATTTTATTTACTACTACAAGCCTAGGTGGAAGTGGGAAAAAGGAAAGCCAAGCAAAAAATTAAAAAGAATTCACTGGCTCTGCACAGCAGAGCGCGCTAAGCGACACAGAGCGTGCCTAGTGGGCTGCACCAATTGTAGAAAAACAGGACATCAACGGGTACAACTACTATGCAAGCTCCACAATCACCATACACACTCAATTTACAACAATTACAATATTTACAACATTAACAAACACACTTACACAAGCTAAACACGACAAGCTTGTGGAAAAACACAAATTGGCATAACGAAACAAACGCGAGAAAGTGAATTAGCAAGTTGAGAAGTGAAAATTTGAAAATTTAAAATAAGTCCTATTTCAACTTGTTCAAAACACAAGTCAACACATAACAAAAACGAATACAAACAAAACATGCTTATTTTACGTCGTAAGCTCGACGCCTTTATTGTGCGAGCTAGTAACCTCCTCTCGTCTTGCCATGGTATTGTCACACCGCACAAACCTAAAGAAAGTGTCCTAACATCCACACAACAAACGTTACGAAAACGAGACAATTTACAAAAATACGTGAAAACAAAGAAAAAGCACATATATGCACAAGTATCATATACAAGTTAATATACAGTTTCTATACAACATATACATTAATTAAAAAATTCAAAAACAAAAGAATTATCGCAATGCAAAAACAATAGAATCAATCCCCAACAACGGCGCCATTTTTTTGATGCGGTAGAGCGACAAGAAAAAAGTAAGTTATTAATTTACCGGGTGATATTTAGGTTATATCGTATCGTGTCCATAAAAATTGGTTATTGAATTTCCGTTTGACAAATCTATCGTTAATGAGTTTGGGGGTTGAATGGGTTGAAAGAAAATTTATTAGTAGAAAATAAATGTATAAAAAGGAATAACTTATCAAGCATGCATATATACTACTTCTCAGAGACTTAAACCTATAGACTTGTTATACTCAACCTACAATATTCATCAGCGTCCCTACGTAGCACTCATAACCTAAGTCATTTCTAACCCAAATTGAGAGGCCGACCGCATCACCTCAGTAGTGATCTCTCAACCACCTCAACAACACAGAAGTCAACCGTGCTCGCTTGCATCGACGATCTCTCAGAGCGACACAAATAACACAAAGGAATTAAGCTCTGATACCCAAGTAGATGTCAGCTATAAATATATCTCTACAGTTCAGAAACTAACAGATAATCATCCTAGATAAGAATCTAAGCAATATATGTCTATAACAACTCAAATCCCTAACACAGAGTAAAAATCCAGAACAACATTCTACAAAGATTTGTAAAGCAAGTTTAATATAACGCCAAGGGAGACAAATATACATCAATTCAAATAAAATATATATACGAACCCAACCATTAGGGAATACACAAAGAAAAATAGAAATGAACCGCAAATCTACCGGTTTGTCATCAACAATCAAAGATCAATCCACCCTGAATCATCTATATGCAAGCTCCATAGTTGTTATCTAAGCTAATCCTAAAAAAATTACTGGTTGATGGAGTTGGGAGAAAAAACTTCCCCAAAACCATCCCTCAAAATGAGCTGAAATGAAAGTTATAAAACAAATCTCAATAGACCGCACTAAGCAGGCTTGGCGCGCTAAGTGTGACTTACTTATTTTACACATCAAACCGACCTAAATCGTGCTAAGCAGGCTTCATAACATTGGTTCAGCCAAATTTTTAAACGCAAGCAGCGCGCTATAAAATATGTTGAGTGGCACTCGTGCTTAGCAGCCTCTGCGCGCTAAGCGGGCTCTCCTAGACAAAATGTCCCAAAACTAGTCTTTTATTCCGAAAACGTGCATCTGGAGCCGTGCCTTCGACACCTTATTCCTCAATGCTCTAAAATGCAACAGTTACCTACAAAATGAATGGAAAACATCAAACGATACACTATGTACATAAAAACATAAATAAACAAAAACTAAACGTATTTACACAAAAGTCAGGTTTATTCAATGATATTAACAACAAAAAGTCGATAAGTGGAACAAAAAGTATATACAAAAATAACTACACTTTGCACTTATGACCTTTTAAATTATCTTAAACTTGATAAGTGAGAAAGAGCAACAACTTTAGAACGTTCAAGGTGGAAGAGGATTGAACACTCAAAGAACCCGAAATATATGTGCTCTAAATAAAACAGAAGCGCAGAAACACTAGTAACTGTATTTTGTAAGAATGACACCAAGCAATCTCGATGAAAGAGGATAAGAATAGTGAATACTAAATCTTACCAAAGAGCGTCAGATAATAATGAAATCAAAGAATATACCAAGTAGAAATTGGATTTGAACGACATGCCAATAAGAGATAGGACTTGAAATGTAAGCCAAGTAGAGATTAGACTTGAGAAGTAAGTCAAGTAGAGATTGGATTTACACCAAGAGAAATACTGGATGTTAGACTATAGAAGGATGCGACACGTAAAACTGGAGCACATATTTCAAAAATGAGCAAAAACTCAACTCAAGCAGGCTAGACAAAACTAGACTTTAGAAGAATGGGCTAGAACAAAACTTGAACACCAATTAAAATAAAGATATAAAACTCAACCCAAGAAAACTAGACGAGACTAGATTCTAGAAAAATGCGCTAGGTCAAAAC